CTTTCTCTGGTGACCATTATTATAGCCATTGTTATTGTCAAGGCAGTCAGACTGGCTGTCCATTGTTTGACTCGAAATTACACACACAGGCACATACACACATACTCGTGTGTATATATAGTATACAAGCACATAAATATATAATGCACAACTGTAAATTGATCGATCTTAATGCCTCACATGGTCATGAGGAAAACGAAAAATCAACAATGGCCATTAAATAACTAAATATTACCAACTAGTTGGTAATTGGACTTAAAGCTAATCCACGACTTTGCGAAAGAGTTGCCCAATAGTAAGGACGTGTGATTGGATATAATTGTATGTGTGTCTGTGTGTGTGTGTGTTCGATGTGCGTATGGTTGTGGCTGAGCCTGTGCTTGTGTTTGTGTTTCATCCACATCAAAGATTAAGTTCGTGCTAGCTGGCAGGCCTTCTTGGCCTTTCTCCTCTGGCTCGCTGGGCAGGACCCGCGCGGGTAAAGCGATACATGCACACATACGTATGTGATAGTCATAAAAAGTTATTTGTCGGCCCTTAAACACACACACAAACAAACACTTGAGCCGAGCAAATGTTTCGATTAACTTTAAGTGGTCCATGCCAGATATTTACTCGTATAAATGTGTTGGAGGGCTACATATTTGTAATTTTTTATGAATTTGAAGCAGTTCAAGTCAAAGTTATCTGTTGGCGGCCTAGTCGGCCATTCTACCAACACACACACACACACACACACACACACATGTGTTTTCATAGTTTCATAAAAGTATGCTATGCCCTTTTACACGTACATAGTATTACCTTCTGATGAGTTTTTGTTTTTTGTTATTGCTTTTTTTTAGTCGGACTAGATAAACTTTTCGAAATACGAACATTTTTCAAATATCTAGAATCTCTAGATTTCCAAGAATTTGCTGGACGAGAATGAAGTGCGTATATCTATCTAACCACGGGTTGGCCAATTAAATTTATGAAATTTTAGTCAACAACTTTCGTTGCGAAATGCAATTAAACTGTACGAAATAAAATGGATACAAAATGTTGCTTGCTATTACAATTACCGAAAAATATGATATATTTTTTATATTTTCATTATTTCTATTCCGAGTAGAAATAAACAATTCCCGTATATCTACGAAAATAAGGAATCTACTACATTCTATTGAATTATAAAAAATGTGCTGCACTAAGCGGAAACAAAACAGATATGTCACGGAAATGCGTTTGTATTAATACAAAATGTTAAAGTTACAATAATGAAAGCTACTTGAAAATCTACGAAGTTATAGTTAACAGTTAGGAGTTTTTGTTTTATTAGGATTTTAGATATTTTCGTCTCTCCTTTCCTTTTACGAATCGCAGGATTCGAGTCTCAAAGTGTTTCAGTCTGCTGTGCCCATGAAGGAACAACTTAAACAAATGAAAATAAGCATCATAATACTATTGTATACTCAATGACATTCTCTGTCTTCCAAACCTTTTTATTTATGCACATTTAATTTGAAAATGTTTTGAGACAAATTACGAGTGCATTTCTCACTAAGTACAAGTACTTGTAGCTAAATCTGTCTTTTTTGCCACAAAAGGTACATGAATGAATTAATAAGCGTACATGTTTGCAGAAGTGTGTGTGTAATTAAGTATATTCATACTAAAATATGGCTAAGTTTGCGCACTGGGGGGCGTCGCCCGTTGCGGACCACTCGTGGCTATAATTTCAACAAACACACGAGCCAAACGTCTAATTAGTGGCTCTAGTTTTAGCCAAATTCATGCCAGCTTCAAGTGCAATTGAAATGGTAGAATGGATGAATGTATGTACATAGATGTGTTCGTACCAAGTGATGTGTGTAAACAGTGACAGTGGTTGTCAACAAATGCAGGAATTGCTTTTCTCTGGAATACTTATCATATCTTTGTTAGATTTCAGTTTAACGAGCTACACAGGCAAGCTACGTAAGCGAGTCTGTGCTGGAGCTGGTTGTGGTGCCTGTGTCCGTCTGCCAACATTTTAGTTTCAGAGAACTGTTATGCAATTAAACGTTGATTGAAAGTCAATTTATATGCGGCCAAAGGTATGCAATTAAAGCCGCCATTTGAACTAGAACTTCTCCAAGCTGTAGTCGCAATTTCAAACAAAGTACTCGTACATGCCTCAAGTATTCATATCAACTTTGACGAGCATTGTGTATAGATTCCCCAATTCTGTTATCAGATACTTTGCCTTGTGCAGGCGCTTGCAGCAACCTTTGTAACTGAAAATTGATCGGACTTAATAAGAATGTTTGCAGCATTCAATTCCCTGTACACATACTATACACGTACATTTGTCTTGAGTTCACTGGAATCCATCTTATTGAGTCACATTACAAATTCCATTATTGAATTATTTTTGGCGTTCCATTAGACATGTCTAGTTTGGTACATCAATTGTCTTGAGTGGCCAAATAAAGCTACAAATATGTGATTTCTTTTCAACACCCTGCACCCGAAGGCTAAAAAGGGTATATTAGATTTGGGCCAAGTATGTAAAAGGAAAAAGGAACCAGCATGACGACACGTGTGTGTGTCCGTCTGTCTATATGAGTCCACATTGATCAAACATGGAATATAGACTCCCCTCATCCCCAGACAACATGAATTTACTTATTTTTTTTTGATTTTTTCCCTCACTCCGCTCGCTCCAGAATTTCGTCAATACTGCCTAAAATTCCCAAGATATAACACTTAATCAATATACGTATACTTCTCTACTTTTGCTTCGAATTTTATCGAAATCTGTCACTCCCAAGAAGCTAGCCTTATAACCCTCCCAGAACCTTGAGCTCGTTTGGACGGACATGTCTGGATCGTCTTGGCATGCGGGTCAAAAGTATTTATATATTTGAGGGTCCTTTTTATTGTTACAAATGCAGGGTACAAAATATTATTTGTCAATTAAGAGGGATCTAAAATCACTGAGTTACTCGTATCAGTGGTTAGGATCTTCTTCACCGAATTCCTTCACTAAAGAGAAGAAATGTGTTTAGAGTTTAGCTAGAAACTGCCATTCATTTACTACACAAGCAGCATTAGTTTTATCCTTTTTCCGCTTACGGAGCAGCAATCACACTTCTACAAGTTATGCTCTAATAAACACCAACTAAAACTAAGCACCAGCTCTTAAGCATGTAAAGTAAATATTAGAGAATTTGTGATCCATTTGCATCCATATAGCATTGGATCAATCGCTGCACCATGAGTTTAAGCTCAGTGGCTCAACCTTTATTTACATGAATGCATGCCTGCACACATCGCATGATGCCTCACTCTTTTTCCTCGGAAATTGTCAGTGAAAATGATGCATGAAAGCACACAGTAATTCCTTCCCTTGTCCCCCTGTCCCCCTATCCCCCAGTCCCTCTTTCCGCCTAGCCACTCACCCATTTATTACCCTTGCATCCCACAATCTCTAAGAGCAGTTCTAGCTAATGCATGTGCTCACACACATCAAATGCGCTTTTCTCAAAATCTCTAAAGCGCTTATTTTGTGGCAACAGCATTTTTTCTTCTTCCTCTTATTCTTCAGTCGTATTATATGACCTGCAATTGTGTGTATGGGCTTGCATTTGGCCAAATGCTCGGAAATGCTCAAAAGAGCAAACATTTTTAACTAAGCACACAAGAGTCTTTAAATCTCCACTGAAGTGAGATGAAGGATTGCAGAATATTAAATACCTTCATATACGTACATATTTGAAGAATCGGACTGTGAAAGGGTGGAAAAATTCTCGTTTGATGAAGACATGAAAAGCTAATTGTCATAGAATTGAAAAGCGTGTTCTACAACAAATTGTTATAACCAATTGCTTCAATTCGCCCTTCGTTATACCAATAATTGCTCTTTAGAGCTAAGATTGATTCATCATCGTTCCTCTGATAGTTATACTTGTATAATAAAGTGAGCTGATTTTAATAATACTTTCGACTACCATGAGGTACTACTCATCAGAATTAAATTTGACAAAAAGTAGCATCCAGCTGTGTAGCATTAAAAATCAGAGTTTGGTGTCTCTAGCTTTAATGGTTAAAAAATTCTTCATTGGATCAATTACACATATACTATATTATAGTATATATATAGTACATTTATATATATGTATATGTCTTATTTTCCAACACTTAAAGTGAGCTTCAAACTCATCGTTAACTGTGATTTTTCTCTGTTATTTTCAATTTGTTCAATTTTATGATATTAAATTAAATTCTTTAAACCACTTGTAGTCTCAACATTAATTGAAATTGTTTACAAATTTGATTTTGTGATCGCCTAGAATTGTTATTAAACAAAACACTGTTCTGTTGCCTTATATTATTATATTTTTTTTTTTTAATGTTCCAAATTAAACTCTCTAAAGATTAGAAAACGTCCCTTTTCCAGTATTGGGGAGATGGAGAATTTTATAATTGCCTGTTTATATTCTAGTGGTGTCTGTAGATCATACGAAACATACTCAAGTGTTCATCAATCAATGGAGGGTGGCTGCTTCTCGCTTCCTATTTATTTCTCTCCATCATAATCAACAGCCTTGGCTCGGTTGTATTTTGAATTGTTTGTCAAATTCCCAAACTGCAATTGGTGGTGAATGTGTGGGGCAGGTTAAGAGTTGTCAGGGCTATGCCCCATGGATTCGATTATAATTTCAAAGTTCAAATCGAATATTTTGCCAACTCGGAAGCCCCTTCAAATCACAACTGTCTGCCATTAAAAGGGGCGAGCATTCATCGGGGAAATACTAGGAGCTGTAGCCATCAAGCCTGCCACCAGTTTGCCACAATTTAGAGGCGACACAGACACACACACACACACACACAGACACTTACCTATGACCACACGACACAAATGTTGTTTATGTTGCAATGCCCAAGTGGCAACCAACACATAGACACACACATTTCAGACATACACGTATATGAACATAAGGAATATGAAGTAAATGCTCCCACCGCCCACTTACCCTGGGAAAACTGTATGAGCTTGCAGAGGAACTCGCCAAAGATGAAGTTACGAAGCAGTGTGCCCACCAAAGTCACAGGCATGCACAGCACTCCGAGGAGCATGTCCGAGATGGCCAGATTGAGTAGGAAGAGGTTCGTGATGGTGCGCATGCGACGATTCTGGACGAGCGTCGATATGACCAGCAGATTTCCCACAACGGCAAACAGCAAGATGATGCTATAGCTGGGTATCAGCCAGACGGGCATCTCCGTGGCCGAGCTGGTGGAGCTGGAAACAGAGCTGGCAGACGCGACAGAGGAGGAGGTGCTGCCCATGCTGCTGCCCAAGGTCACACTCTCAGTGATCAGTTCGCCATCGAGGTGTGTGTTTACATAAAAATTGGTGGCCAGTGCATCATCGTCGTAGCTTGACTCATTGCGGTTGTTGTTGGTGTTGTTGCTGATGCTGATGCTGCTATTGTTTCCCACAATGGTGGTTGCTGCTGTTGTAGCGCCTGTGGTTGCTGCCGCCAGAGTCAGGGAGACAATGTGACTGGCGGCCTGTCGCTCGTTGGCATAGAAGGCGAGTAGGGCCTTGTAGGCAGCCGCAGCTGCCATTGCCGTTTGTGCAGCATCCTCGGCCGTCGCAAATTGCTCGGCGCTGTACATGGAGCGCACTTTATACGAATTGTTGCTATTGCTATTGGTGTTGTTGTCACACGCGATCGCGCATCGTGCAAAAATATATACATATACTATACTCGTATGTATGCGAAAAAAAACCCCAAATTTATGTATTTAAATCAAAATATAGAAAAATTATTGCCAACTTTATTTGGGAAACTACTAGGAATTGGCCACAATATTGTCGATCCGGTCGAGATGGCGACGCACGCCCACGCACCGGACCGTGGGTGTGTGCTGGTCTGTGTTGCTGTCGTTTTTGTTGTTGTTGTTGTGCGCGATTCACGTCCGATTACCGTTACGTATAACGCGTCGTTAGCAACTGGCAAGCCAGCGTAGCATGTTGCAGGCATCCTTGTGGCAGCCACAGCGACATGCGCACCAGCGCCCGAACTCAACACCACCACACATGGCAACCTTTGCAGCGGCAACATGATTGCCAACTTCCTTCGCAACATGCGCACCGGCAACATGTTGCCGTGTTGCCAAGCTGCCGAGGTGTCCCGCTACTGCGTAGGCCGCAACTTGATAATGAAAGTCAGAAAGGGAGATTTTTGAATTCTTTTTTTTTTCCTATTATGTGTATATTTATTTGCACAGAATTTCTATTTTTTTGCATAAGGCAAATAAAATAAATAATCAAAATACGCCAACTATCCCTAATTGATGAGCTGACTTTGCACTTTGCAACGCATGTGTGGGATTGACATCGTCCTCTGATGAAAACGCAAGCACGCAGTGGGACGGACAGACAAAAACTGCACTAAACCGTACTAGCACACTACAGTAAAAACTCTCTTAACCGGACAACTCTACATAGAACGTTCGTTGTAGTGTACTTTTTCTCCCTCTTGGGCTGACAGTCTCTTGAACGGACACGGATAATATTTTTCGAAGAATTCCAACTAAAGCCTCTCATCCGAACGTGTGCCTCTTGTATCCTTGTATCCTCTCTCGAACTTTTCAAGTGCATGAATCAGAATCTATAGTAAACATATTGGTAATGTCCCTTTACAAAATAGACTCAGTTCATTAAGCATTAAGCTTCAAGCTATTTTTAAAAGAAAACTAGAAAGCATTTCAGCACCTTACTTAAAACCCTTGGAAATGCATTTCAGAATCCCATCTTCAAAAAAACATTAATAATTTGTTTATTTGGCGCGTCACAATAACCTCAGAATTTCCACAGAGTTTGAAGCTTCTTTTTGAAGACAATTTTTGGTTTTTATTAGTAGTATATGTTCGTAACTTAAAATAAAATAAAATTCCAAAAATGCATGTAATACTTTGTCTTCAGCGGACACTCGCCTTGGGGGAGACATGGACGGTGTCACTGTACATAAGCTGAATTATCAAACAAATGAACATTGCTTTCCCTAAATTGACTCATCAATTCAATATGGAACACAAAACATATAAATTGGCCATTCAGTCATTAAGAGTTGTTTTTATTTACTTTTTATAGCCATGAAGGACAGAAAGCAGCTTAAAAGCTTACATTCTATTCTTCAATTGTAAACTGTGTCTGAGTCTAGAAGGTTGATATAACAAATAATGCAATATATGGAAAATGCAGCATTAATATGGCTTTCTCAATTATTTAAAACTTTGAATAGGATTTGCCCAACGCTGTCTCTTATTTTAGTAAAAGGCCCATAATTGACTGCTTATTTATTTTTTACCTGGGCTCTCTGTGAAGTCATGAATCAGTTGGACAATTGTTATATGTATATAATCATATACTTGTATATTGTTAGATCAACATTGGCTTTTATTGTTGTTCAGGGAGGGTATAAAAAAAAATGTTGAGCACTTCAAAATTGTTGTTTTGAATAAAAAGAAATGTTCATTTGCATGTAATCAACTTTATTCAGCATATAATTGAGATCTATATTGGATAACTAGTAAGTTTTATAAAGCTTTAAGTGGAAAGCTGTATAACATTTATTAGTTAAATACAAATAAAAAATAATTTAATTTCGATTCAAAGGATAACTCTCCACTAATTTCCATTGTTTTCACAGTTCGATTTTTTCATAATTGCTTGTTACCTGTTTTTCCCCCAATAACAACAAACACTATCATATCTTTTCAAGCATCAGATTTCTGATGAATTGCGATGAGTTTGTTTCAACCTTGCTATCTGGCCAATGACTGTTGGCTTATTTCTTGAGTCTGTTCATTAAACAAAACTCTTTCCTCAGCACATGTGTTATTATCAACTGTATTGCAAGCTGACTGATAAGTCAGTTCCCACTACAGAGCCAGCGACATCCAATTTAGCCGCTGAGCTTGATTCCATTACAGTTTTTATCGTTGTTGATAAAAGTGCGCCCGGCCAAGGCCAATCTTCAGCTTCTGCCTCCGCCCTTACTGACTAAAGCAGAGTCGCTGCTACTGCTGTTTTTTTTTTTTTGCTGTTATTGTTGTTACTTCTGTTTCTGTTGCTATTTTTGCTGCTGCTGTTCCTGCTGCTGTGGCAGAGACGACAATAAACGGCTGTGGATTAGTCAGAGCGATATATGCACCATAGCAGACTAAGACCGAGACACAGACCCAGTCACAGTCACAGACACAGTGCCAGACACACACACACACATACACAACCAGCCACAGAAGGGAACCTATGTGGCATACTACTTACATATACGTATGTATGTGGAGCAAAAGGCGAAGCTGCAACTTGCAGAAGCTACGGCTATGACTACGTGCGTGCTTGATTGCAACGTGCTCGTCACTTGATTGCCTGCAAAAGATTTCGTTATGCTCACACCTGAGTGACAGACTGGCTCGAGAGCCTGACGAACTGACAAGCTAACAGACTGACAGCCAGTCGGACAGACAACTGGGCTTAGCTTATGCCTCACACTCGGAAAAACAATAATCGTTAAGCTACAAACAATTCCCGTTACCCACCAATATTACGCTTTAATGTCCCTGAGGCAGGGCATGACGCAGTCCTAATTCGATAAACCTATATAGTAGGTACGTATATTAAGCGATTATTCAGATATAGCAAGCCTACATTACACATTATTTATTTTAATGCCGACTCTGAACAGTTCATAAGTATTCCACTCCATTCATAATTAATTCTTAGCTATATGTATCATTTGAAAACATCCTGCCCCATTTCGTTGGTGTAGTTGAGTCTAATAGTTCAGTTAATTTTTTTTTTTTTTGTGTCATATTGCTTTTATGGTCAAATTATTAAATATCTAAGAGTGGAGAAAAGTTCTTAGCATAGATGCGATTTCGAACTATTAACAAAAATATATTAAGCAAGCCAACGCTTATTATCTCCCAACAGGTCCACCTTTAGCTTTAAATTATATTTTTTCTTTTATTATTTAAGTATTTTAATTTGTTTTTTTTTTTTAATCTAGCCATACTTCTTTTAATCTTTTATTGCTATTTATCATCTCTCTTTCTTTTTTGTTAGATCTAATAACGTATCTGACTACTCTCTGCTGTGAATCGGGGCATAGCTGGCCGTTTGGCAAATGAGTCCGATTCGTTATTAGATAATTTTTTAATTTTTAAAGGCTTTTTTTTAATTTATTTAGTTTCATTTAGCTTGAGTTCTCTATTGTAATGCTTTGTTTTCCTTTTTCATTTTGTACATTCACATTGTTTGTAAGCTAAATAAAGTTAAATAAATAAAAAGTAACCTGATGAGTTTTTAGATTTTCTCTCAGTGCATGATGCTGCACCGCCTGCAACAATATTTTGTCAACGCGCACTTTCAACTCGCCTGCATATGAGGAAGACATTAAAGAAGAGAATAAGAAGAAGAAGAAGATAAAGAAGAGAGACGAGCGAGCATCGCTACTTATCTGTGCCGCACACACTCTGGGGGCCCCGCATTGCACGCTACCCGCTACCCGTTCCCTCTGCATTGCCTTTGCCGTTGCCGTTGCCGGCTAACGACTCCCGTTTCATTTGCCGGCTGCTCTCTGCCGTTTATCAGCGGACACGTTCGCTACACTCACAAAAATACCTTTTCTTAAATACATTCCTAATTCCAAATTATTATTATTTTTTTAATTAAACATTTTTGCTCAAATTTAAAGCGATTGACTCAAACGGATTTCAATAGCTTCATTAAGAAACGAAACTGCGAGAAACTGAGAAGCTATTGTTTTTCAATTTTCAAATTCAATTTTTCAAATTCGTGATGGAGTATCCGCCATTGTACGAACTCTGAAAAATTAATTTGTAAGCACACTGTATTCGTTTGTACTACAAGTATACCAAACTAAGAAACAAGAAATTGTAAGTACATGTAAGGATTTAGTTTATTATAAAAAAAATCGTATTGCGGATAAAACAAATATAAAAATCGTTCCGACAATCAAACTACTTACAATGTGGCCTTCTAAATATTAAAGAAAGTTTATAATAATATTATAAAGTTTAGAAGACTAGATTTTTTTTAGAGTGTAGCTGGATCCACAAGCGTAGTGCCGTCTCGCTCGCACGGCCCCAACCGCAAAGTGCGCTTGCCCTCTTTCATCCACTGCTGTTGCCGCTACTTCTACTTTATCCGCTGCGTCTGAGTCTGCGTCAGCGTCTGCGCCAGCGTCGAGCGCCGAGCGCTGAGCGACAGAGCTGTGGAGCGTCAGAGCACCCGCCACTTCGTTGGAGTTGCACGCGCGTTCACCATCGCATTCGTGAGTAAGAACTCGTGCGAGTCGGACGGCTGATAGTATCTTTTGTTAACAATTTTGTTTGTTGTCTTTGTTGTCGTTTTTGGTGAAATTGCTTATTTTTTGTTTTTTTGTCGCTGTTTATTGTTTAACAGCAGGCCTAATTGCAAGCACATATATCTATCTAATTATACAGATATAGTTATATATAGTATTTGCTGCATTTGCCGCCATTGTGTGTGTTCGTTTGTTCATTCAGTCCTCGTGCTCCCTGCTCGCTGCTGGCCGATAGCCCGCTGCAGTCTTCCCCCCCAGTATTGGTTCTTAAACAATTTAAGCCAATTTAAGCTCAGTTCGACACCCAAGACCCTCTTGACCAGAGCTGCTGCTAAAGTTGAAAAAAAAAAAACAAAAAAAAAAAAAAAAATAAAATAAAAGAGAAGGAAGAATTTCATTGAACTCGAGTCGAGTGGCGCATTGTGCGCAGCTAACAAACGCCGGCCATCAGGACAGTCAGCCAACCAGACAACCAGACAACCAGCCAGACAGGCAGACAGCCAGACAGAAAAACAGACAGACAGGCAGGGCAGCAATAGCCATAGCCATAGCCACAGCCAACAACCAACAACCTACAGCATCCAGAGCAGAGCAGAGTAGAGGAGAGGAGAGCATTCAGCCCTTCCTTCCTTACACACAGGCCCAGACCCAGACGGACACTTGAGTTGCAGTCGCAGTCGCAGTTGCCCGAAGAGCAGTCCAGAGAAGCGGTTAAGTGGCGAAGCAGAGAAGCGGAGAAGCACAGAAACAGAAAAGGAGAACAGCTCGCAAGCATGTCTGACGGCATTGAAGTTGAACAAATCGTCGAGAGCAAGCCCAGAAGGGTGAGTAATGCAAGACCAATATCATATTATATATACTATATACATATATAGTACTCATACTTGCACATATTCCCATAAATATGCATGCATGTAAGTCAACCCCGATAAGGGAAACTGCTCATGAAAGCAACTTAAATACTTTTAACATCTTGACTATTTAGTTCATCGTTGATCAAATGCCGATCAAATGACTTTCCCTCTCTAATACTCGGCTATATTAGAAAAATTTCAATTAAAATGTCAGAAAATAGAGTTAGCTGTCTTGTAATTGAAAAATCACAAAATTGTAACGCTCTTAAATTAATGTTTAAATAACTACATTATTATGATATTAACTATTTTTATAAAATATTGGTTATAAACGAATAGAAAAGTAATATTTACTTCGCTATTAACTGGCTTTTAAATACTTTTCTTAAATATACTCGTATGTATATTCCTCCAGATATAGAATATATTAGAAGAATTAGGATAGGTGAGGAAAAGGAGACATATCTATCCCATTGTATAAATAATATTAGGTAAATCGACTATAGCAGTTGAAAGGGTAGTTCCAAATCAATTTAAAGATCTACTTGTATTTGGAAATAAATGTTGGCATTTGCTTTCAGCAGCTTTCGAGAAAAATTGTCTTTAAAACGAATAATAATATGTAATATTTAATGCAAGATAATTACCGTACACCTCCTAGATGTTTTGGAGGCCAATTGACAAGATTTCTTGTTAATTGGGTAAATTGAAATCTGAGAGGTGGAATATCCTGCATTTGGTTTATCTAAAGTACACTGTGTATGTAGTAAGTACTACGGGTTCGGCAGAGAGTAAAGGCAGAGACAACCGAAAAAATTATAAGAGATGCAGAGGAAGCGACAAGCCGACAAGAACAACGCGTCCAGCAACAACAACAACAACAACAACATCAACAACGAACAGATATTTAAAAGCAACACACAATCAGAGGGTAGGGCAGTAAAACTCATGGGGAAGAAGGAGGGGGAACAACAGATAGCAACAGAGAGCGAGCGAGCACGTTCATTGGAGTCGGCGCGACTTCAGTCCGCACACACCAAAGTCAAGTGTGTGTCTGTGTGCGTGTGTGTGCGTGTGTGCGTGTGTGTGTGTTTGTGTCTGTGTGTACTTTAAATAACTCTGACTCTGATTCTGATTCTGAATCCAACTTCGCATAACCGGCAGGGCCGGCGCAATCGAACAACAGCAACATGAGAAACCAAAAACAAAAAGCATCTTTCGTTTACTCTTGTACTCGTGTACATATTTTATTTGTATTTTCAATTTCATTTTTTTAATATTTTATATTCGCCCGTTTAATGTGTGGGGGCGAGAGTCCAACTAGACTCTGATTCGCATGGCCATCACATCATGCATCAACATCATCACCATCATCACCATCATCATCATCATCATCATCACCATCGTCGCCTTCAGCATAGACACTATTAACGTTGCTGCCCTAGCCAGACGCACGTTTTGCTCCACGTTGCATACACTCCCACACACACACACCAACACACACACCAACACACACACACATACATATCAAGTTCAAGACCACACCTACACACACGCACACAGACACAGGTACAGGCACAGACACAGGCACAGACACAGATACAGACACAGCTACAGATGCAGACACATTTGTATCTGACAATATGCTCGTGTGTTCATACATATATTGGGCTAATTTCTGCGGTTTATCAAAAAGGCGAACGCTTTGTGTAAATTAAACTATTTTTTTGCTTTTCTGACACATGCGGTTTCTCTTGCTACCGTGTTAACCCAATGTTGCCTACGGGGCGGCCTAACACGCTGCCAACAATCTGCAACTACTGAAGATGTTTGCAACAGAGTTCTGAGTTCTGCAAAATTGAAATTATAATTAAAACAATCGAAAAACAGAAAAAGGGCATGGGTGTTGTAAATATTCGAGCTTGCACACAGAAGTATCAAAGAACTATAGCTCGTGTAGATAAAGTTGTAATCTTTAGCTCTGTACTACTACATACAGGGTGCGCCATCTTTTATGTCGGTATGCAAACATTGAATATCCTTGAAAATAAACAACCGATTTTCAAGTATGAGATATTTTTATTTAATTTGGTTCTGTACAATTTCTTGAACTGAGGTTTTCAACACTGGTCTACTCAAGTCAATCGTTCACTAATGACAAAGTTATTCAATATCTACATACCGACATAAAAGATGGCGCACCCTGTACTTAATATATGCGACCGCCTTATCGATAGGCCATTAAACGTACACACTAATTTGTCATTGAACTGTGTTTCTACCAAAGCTGCACTAAGTGCCTCACTGCAGATCTTCAATATCTTCTTCAAAGCGTTGTTCAGTTGTCGTTCTTTAGCTATAATTTTTATCAGAAAATTAACGAGCCCCATTGGCTCTAATGCACTCACATCTGACACATAATGGAAACCGACATCATTACTGTTGGTGTAGACTAAGGATCTCGCATCTTAAAAAACTGCAGCTTGATTAGAAACAAATAGTTGCATCACTTTTGAGTATTCAACGTATTAACAATATTCATCCGCAATACTGTGCCGGGCACACAACAATGGGTTAATTTGCTGCTAAGTAGCTGCAGTAGAACCATGTAGCGGACTAGACAGTTCCACAAAATAAATGCATTCAATTGCATCAAGTCTATGGCTGAACCGAACATTGATTCATGGATGCGCTTCGCTTTCTAGAAAGTCGGAGAGGGAAAGACCCTGTAGTAGGGCTGCAGGCAACTAACTCCACATTTGCTCAACTTGTCGATGCATTAATCAGACGACAAAAAGGAGAAAATTAAATAAAAAACAAAAAATACCATGCGTCAGTTCAATGAACCTATACGGGCCGTGGGCGTCCCCCAAGGCGACAACATTCTGAGCTCCCTTGAGAGCTGCTCGTACTCTGATTAAACTTCAAAGCAATGACAACACTGTCCAGCAGCTTGTGGGTCCCACACCAACACACCAACACACACACACACACACACACACACATGTGTGTTTATTTGTGTGCACACATATGTGCGTATTCGGCTTATGTACATACTTGTATGTATGTGCGAGTATATAAACGAACATATATCGTACATATGTATGTCAGCTAGTCGATTTTTCAACGCAATTGAAAAGGCAAGTTGAGGTGAGCACAGCAAACATTTCCCCCAATTCCAGCCCGATTCGTCAATCGGGCAATCGTTTGGTAAATAAAACAATAAAATGTTCAAAGCTTCAATGCAAACAAGTGCACAACTGCTTATGTTTCATCGATGCATGCCGACATGCGAGACAGCTCCAAATGGATTTAGGTGCTTGACAATTCCGTTTCAGAAGCCTAATGTCTCAAATACCGGTGGACAAACGTACAAACAATGCGTTCGTGTGCGTCGATCCGGGGAAGGCAGGGGACAGGAGGGGTGGGGAGGGGAGGGGAGGGGAGGCACCAATGAAACGAGGGAGCCATTTATGGTCATAACTCAATCAATAAGTCACAACAAAGAACTGAGCATTGAAATCAAACCGGATTCTACATAGTATTGTTAAGTGGCTCCAAACGGCTCCAAACGGGGCTGAGGGTGGCAGTTCATGCACTGTGCGGGAGATTTCAGTAATAATCATAAATAATAATCAGAGGCAGTCGTAATACGCGTCGTATGCGCAACATATCCAAAATACTTATCACCCCACAACAATGCGGCACAACCATGTGGGTTATCAGGCAAATTAGAGCGAAACAATTCATTTTCCCCATTTTCAGACTCCTTATGCCTTTCATTTATTGATGAGGGGGCCTTAATATATTGGTATGCCCATAAAAAAACAAGATATCTATAATCAGAAGTAGAACTTTAATGAGCTGGTACTTAGCATTGGCCTCGCAGTTCGATTTCATTTAAATGCTAGGCTTAATTAATCAAACCGGACGCTGCACATGAACAATTCCTGAAGCCAAAACACAACAATATTATTAATCAATTATATTTGTGATAGCATAATGATAGTTTTTAATATGATTAATATTTATCAATATGTTGTGTTATTTCCAACTAGTATTAGTATTTTTTAAATATATTATTATTTTTTAAATATGTTGCTTTGTCTTATTATCTAAGACTATGAACTCTAACTCTGGGGTTAGGGATTGAGCGATGCAGAGATCGCTCTTAGCCTGATAACTTTTGTGTTTATTCAGATATTCCAAGATATGTAGAGCTTATATGTGTATTCTATACAGTAGTGTCCCACAATAATCTAAATAACAAAATAATCTAAAGTTTTGTCAAAATCCGTGCATCGTTGCCAACACCAACACCAACACCTTTTTGGAATCCAAACAAAATAAAAAATTTAATAAGTGAAGGGCGAAAGTGTGACAGAAAATATTGGTGGACAGAGCCAGCGCCGAGGTTGAATTGATCGGACGAACAGATTATTAATATATCACTAATATTTTTTATCGACTTTCATTACTTTTGCGGGTTGGATTAAGGGTCATTATAGAGGGTTTCTAATCTCCACTGATATGCCAACAACTATTCCCATTTAACCATTTTCCCATTTTGTCCTTCTCACTTGTCACAGCAAATGAGAAATCGTTGATTATTAAGGCATTTCTTGGCACATATATCAACATCAACATCAGCGACAGCAACAGCGGCGCCCGCCGCTAAATTTAGAAGCAACAAATTTTGTTGCAATAAAGAGACTAACAGAAAAATAAAAATTGCTGGCCATCAATAAGTTGACGGGGCTTCCTGGCAAACCAATTTTGGTCAAAGTCGTTGCAAGGCGCGGCCTGCAGGCCCGACGGGCGGGTAGGGGGGAGGGGAAGGCGTCAAGACTCAAGCGCCATAAGTTGTGAGCTGTGAGTGGTTGCGAGCAGTTGTGAGCTCTGACTCATGGGCACAACAGCAACAGCAACAGCTCCTTTGTTATGGCTGAAAAACTCAAAATGAAACAGAG